GTGCCAAAAAGGATGGGGACTGCTGTCTCATGAGATTCTGGCTTAAAGGCCCACTTCCCTTTGTCCCCATGATCATTACTCAAAACCATTCCTAAAGGGCATACTCAAACACTCAGAACAAAGTTCCATTTTTTAAAAAATTCAAAATTAAATGGCAGGAAAAGATAGAAAACAATGTAATCATTAAAATCCCAAACTCTTTAAGCCCTTTTCATTAATTCTTTTTTCATATATCTTTCTTAAATTGTATTGGGATGGCTAGCCCAAATGTTTCCTTATTTCAGTGTAGCTATTGCCCAGGAACATGAGGATACTGTTCTCAGATTCTTCTATGCCTGGGAAGGAGGAAACAGCGTCAACTTGTCAGATATTCAGTATACAGCATAGTACTCACTCATCGTAACACTCCAAACCTGAAACTCCTGTATTGGACACAATATGAAATTCTTCAGGAATTAAAGTATCTGTCAGTGTCTTTGGCTTTAAAAAAACAAAAAAAGAAAAGAATGAATACATTAATAAGTGAAAAAAATTGAGTTCCACAAATCCTAACTCCTAACCCAGATACTATTTATTAAGTTGAGAGGTTTTGATTACAGAAATAACAATATTAGTAATGTGGGTCATAGCAAGTAACAAAAAACAAAGTAGAGCACAAATCTCCAAAATAACCATGAATCAGAAAACTTTGGTTCTAGTATTAGTTACACAGATCCCATATATTCAGAAACGTAGTGATTATTTTCTTTTAAATTCAGCAGGAAATTTAAAACTCAACTTAGCAAAATACCAAAGATAAGAATTTTACAACTTTATATGTAGATTTCTTGGGGGAAAATGTCTCCCATACGGTATTTTCTAAAGTGGATGACTGTGGTTTGGAAAATGGCTTACAATAAGATATTTTTGATCTTTTGCGGCTAAATATCCTTTTTAAGAAATAATTGGAAGACTGGTAAACAATGCAGATTGTCGTTATCGTATGACATTGGTTTATATTTCAGGGAAATGATTTTTAAAAGGAGAGAGAAGGCGAAAAGGTTATCTGTAAAATACTTTACCTTATGAGGCACAATGACACCGTCATGTGGCTGTAACGAACGGTCCAACTGCGGGGGACAAACTGTATTCTCCCTAGTCTCCCCTCTTACATATTTAACATCATACAAAAAAGAAATGTCCCTAAAAAATAAGAAAAATATACTTACAAAATAAATTTTCTCTCTGGCTACTAAATAAGAGTAAAGTCCACACATGTCCTTCCAGGAGGTAAAATGGCCATTTGTGTCAGCAAAATTTATCTCCTTACCAAACACTTTACTACGACAGGCATTAAACAGGAGTTTCCACCACACTCTTCCTCTTCTCCACCTGAAACTTCTCATTTGCATCTCAAGCTTTCTCTTCCTCCAGTCTCAGGATAAGACACATTCTCTTACCTACGGTTACTCCCTCCACTGAGGTCCTTAATCGCATCTTTGCCCATATCCTCAGGAATCTCATTTCATCAATCACGACTTCTGTGCGTCTCTCACTCTACTGGAACATTCCCTGGGTCTACGACAGGTCTTTCCTCCTTCTAAAAATCTCCCCTTACCCATGCATTGCTGTCAAGTTATCCTGATCGATCTTTGATCCATCCATCCATCATCTCTCACTTTCTGTAAAATGTCAAACTTCCTGACACTTCCCTGCAAACTGATTTCCATCCACATCTCTCTTCCGAAACTATACAGGAAGCCGCCGATGACTTTCCACTGCCAAGTTTAGCAACGTCTTCCCTTTTGTGGGTGGCGGCCAGCGAGCGCCCCGGAGTCCTGCGGCACCTGCCAGCACAAGTGGGGGGCCCTGCCCGCCCACCCCAAGTGCCGCCCCCCGCCCTCTGCCGCATGCAGCTCTTTGCGCCTAATCCTGCTGTCGCCGAGTACGCTGCTGGGACTGTGTAGCTCAGCTAAGGACGATGCAGTCCTGGGGGAATCTGTCTACCGTGGGCAGGTGTTCAAGCAGTCCCCCCGTGGGTGAGGAACTTCAGCATCTGGCCGCGCTGCGACCCCCGCGGCGGCACCCACAACATGCACCGGGGACATCGGGACCTGACCACCGAGACAAGGGCAGCCGGCACCGCGCCCGCTCATCCGGGTCACGAAGGAGATCGCCCCCTGCCGGCGACGCCGCCGGGCAGCTCCAGGACCAAGTTCCTGCTGCCCCACCAGGTCCTGCGTCCTCAGCACCCGCCGCGCTTCACCGCCAGGAGGCCCCACACCGCCTTCCAGTGCAGGGCCCTCTCGCCCGGTGTGCACAAATACACTTAAGAATGCTCAAAAAAACAACCAATCTCCTATCAGTTATCTTCCACTACACTTCCCCGGAATATTTTCCAGAATTGATCACATTTGCAACTTTTATGTAAGTCATATTTTTTTTTTTTGAAACTTTAAGGTCAGTTTATTAAGTTCAATGACGAAAGCTATCAGAAGAATATTCTCCTGAAAATCAGTTTTTCTTAGAAAAAAAGAAAGGAAAATCAAAACCCTCTGAGCACAGCCACAGGTGCTGTGGCAATCAAGGCTCTCAGCAGGTGGGGACAGTCCATCAGTTGAGTCACCCCCGGGGGGTCTGCAGGATTGTGGTCTGGATCATCTCATCATCCTCCAGCTCCAGGTCATCCATCTCCTGGAACAAAGACTCATCTGCCTCCACACTGTGTCCAGCATCCTCCAAGAACTGGGTATCACATGTGTCAAGATTATGACCTGTTTCAAATAACTGTTTCCCACTTAATTTATTTTTTCCTGCTTGTTCTTCTTCTTTCATCCGTTTCTTTTTAATTTCCAAGAGTTCTGCATCAAACTTGGCCTTCCAATTTAAGAAATTCTCAATTGTAACAGGAGTGTCATGGAATAATTTCTTTTCAGCTTCTTTTTCTTTTTGTTTTTTTTCTTCCTCCTGGTTTTTATCTGATCTACTATTTCATTTAATTTTTCTTGCACACCTGTCACTAAAGATCATCACCATACCAAGATTTTCTTCAGCCTGTGATGTTAATAATTTTGAGATGTCTGAGACATCATTATCTTCTAGGTTTTCCTGGGAGAGTATTTCAAAAAGGGGCGCTTCATCTGGGCATTTTTCACTCTATGTGAACTTGAGGGCGGTCTGGGCAGCTTCATCATTTTCTCCAGCTTCAGATTCACAGTAATGGTGAAGCTGGGTGGATTTCTGCGAACGCTGCGGAGTCGGGGTGGATGCACCCCAGAGCCTCCTGCTCGCTGCGCTGCTCCTCGCGCTATCTGCCACCGTGGCCCTTGCTGCTGCCCACGGATGGCGCAGACACCCGGGCAGCCGAGACCAGGGCCGCACCGGGCAGGCGCAGGTGCAGAGTACCTGGCCGGAAGGCCCAGGGCCCCTTAAGATTATTGCAAACTTAGAAGTTTAATAAAACAAAATAAAGAAATGTGAAAAAACAAAAAAAGGCTCTGGTAACCAAGATATTGGCAATTGGTCTAAGCTGGGCCAAATAAATACACTCTCCCGGGAGACTGAATCTTGAGCAACTGAATCTTAAAGGAAGATTTCCGAGATAGAAAGCAATAGGCATTAATTCAGCCCCACGATGATGCCCCTGTGGACTGTTGGATCCTTCCACCAGATTCCCCAGAGCTGCCTTAAATTCAGATTTTTCTGAAGTCTGAGTACTCAAGGTTTTCCTTCAATTTTGTGACCTCTCACCTTCAACTTTCCTATAATATTGTTTTCATAAACTAGATGGCTTCCTACTCAAGCATTAAGCATTAGAAGGCCTTCTTCACCAGACTGACATATCCAGATCCTCAATGTCTAATTCGAGTGTTACCTTCATGAAAATAGTTCTGCCATTCCCAGTTAAAAGAAGTCTCCTCTACCTGTGAGCTCCCTCTTTTTAGCACTTGGAGTTTTTGCAGAATACCTGGAGCCATGCTTTTCATATGGCAGACATAATTAAATATTTGTAGAATAAATTTGTTGAATATTCACATTTCATCACCCGTATTTTGAAATTTCTATAATGGCTACAGTCATCTTGTTATTTAAAGTCACAGCAGTGACCTGGGTCATTTACATTGAAAAGATACTATGTGCAGAGGCCATGATAGAAAAGATTGGTAGATTCAACTGCATACATTTTTACATGACAAAAACCACCACGAGCAAATGCAAAAGGAAGCTCACAAACTGAGAGTTTTCAGGTCATATCACTGACAAAAAGACAATTTCCTATAAAATCTTCCTATAAATAAGAAAAAAAATCAATTGAATAGAAAATTAAGCAATTCCCATAAAATACAAATAGCTCTTAAGCATTAAAAAACATATTCACAGAAAAACAAATGCAGATAGATTTTAAACAAATGAGAACATGGTCAATCTTGTACATGGTAAGAGAAACATAAATTAAAACCAACCAGAGATACCATTTTTCAGCCATCAAATTGGCAAGGATAAAAAATGTTTGATAAAATACTACATTGACAAGGAGCAACAGGAACTTATGTTCATCTTATATAAACCAATATATGTATCCTTTTCTCCCTTTTTATTAATTATACATAGTTCTAAACTTTGCTTTTTTCACTTAACTATCAGAGATCACCCCATATCAGTACATAATCAGTTTTTTTTAAAACTTGCCATTGTAGTATTCCATTGTATGGATATATCACTATTTCCCTAATTGCTGAACATTTCAGTTGTTTCCATTCTTTTGCTACTGCAATGAATATTTTTGCCAATATGCCATTTCTCATGAGTACATGTGTAGAATAAATTCCTAGAGGTAAAATTGCTAGGTCAAAATGTATACATTTCTAAATTTGATAGACAACCAAATTGCTTCAGATTAAAAAATATTCATCCTTCCCTCCCTATCATGAATTTGGTATTTACCATTACCATGCATGGTTTTATCTATGTTTACTACACAGATATATTGAGAAATACGCAGTACAATTTTGATGTTTAATATCTAGAGACAATAAATTTTTTAGTTCATATTTTCTAAAAAATATGTTGGTTTGGTGACTATCAGTCAAATTTTCTCAAAAAGCCATTTTTGGAGACTTTTGTATTTCTATACATTATTGAATTATTGGGTATTGAATTGGTTTGAATGAGTCCCCCAAAAGTCCATGTATTGGAAATTTAATTGCCATTGTAACAGTATTAAGAGATGGGACCTTTAAGAGGTGATTAGTTGATTTATTTTTAGAGGAAACACGTTTTATTTGTTCAAATATAATTTTTCATTAACCATAAAGATATGTTTTATTTTTTAATAAAACTGTTGTGGTAAATCACCAGCTTCCACTCTTCTGGAAAATCTATTTTTATTTAAAAACAAAAACCAAAAAACTTTGATTCTTGGTCATAACACAATAACTGGATTTT